GGGGGGGGGCTGCGGGGCTGCTCCAGTCTGGCAGGGAGAGGCATCCGCTGTCCTAGAAAAAGCAAAAGAGGAGAAGCTCTGGGGGAAAGGCAGTGGGACCCGCTGCTGCAAGAGCCAGGGCAAAAGGGTCTGAGTTGGAGGGAGAATAAACAACCCCTCGGCACTGGGAACCAGAGTGGGGTGCAGCGTGGGGACCCCCAGGAGCAGAGTTGGGGACCATCACCCGCCCCTCCGGATGCGGCGTGGGGCGCAGAGCCGCCCATCGAGGGCGCAGACAGGCTCTGGGTGCAGAGTAGGAGTCTCCCACGGGGACACAGCCCCTCACCTCCCTCCCTCCCGGCACAGCACCCCTGCACTGACACAGCCCCTCGCACCCCTTCCTCAGGCCACCAGCTTGCCGGGGGCAAAGGGAGGAGAGGAGTGACGGGACAGAGTGCCGGTCCCATCAAGAGTTTGGCACATCACAGAGGAGGTGCTTCATCCAGAAAGGAGAGGGTCTGCAGAGGGACCGCTCCCGCCTGCCCCGAGACCACCAGTGCCGGCGGATGCTCAGGGATGCTCTGCAGGCGCAGGCAGACCCACAGGCAGGGCAGCAAGGCAGGAACCACCCGCAGCTGCTGCTATCACAGGAGAAAAAAACAAAACAGATTTTTTAAGGAAAAGAAAAAAAAAAAACCTTACAGAATTTTAAGGTGCCTATAAAAATGCCCATTTTTAAGTGCAGCCTGAACTGTGGGATCTCCAGGTAGCAGTGTCGGATGGGTGCGATGGTGCTGGGAGCACCTCTCGGCTGTCGGAGGGTACTTTTCCTTCAACTCGGCTCTTTTGTCTGCGAATACAACATACGGTTTGCAATTCTGCAACGCATTTTGAGGCCAAAAGTCAATCGATAACAACCATTTCAAAGGGGGGAACGCTGAAGCACCACCAGCGTAACCTGCAGCAATCCCGTCTTGTGCTCTCCCCTGGGCAACAGTGTACACAGGAGGGAGGCACGGGGTGCCGCGGGGTGCACGTCTGCGTCACCCCGAATTTCCCCTGGTGGTTTTGCTGGCCGACGCTAAAGAAGTGCCACAAACACGGCCGGCACAGCCCCGGCGCACCCATCCCCAAAAAGCGTCCCTAGGGGTGCACGGGGCGGCTGCAGAAGGGCGTCACTTCGTCCTCGTGGCCCCTTGTCACCCGGTCCCTGGCACTTGTGGCTCACGTGCTTCTCTTTCCGCCTCCCCCGGGACCATCCAGCGGGAAGCGGTTGCAAACCCACTGGCCGTGTTGTTGTTTCCTTCGTTCAAGGACGGGCGATGGCCACGGCAGCTCTCTCCCCCGCTCCCAGCACCCTCCCCTGCCCCGTGACGCTGGCAAAGGGAGTGATACCCCGGAGTGGGAAAATGAAGGTTATCCTTGGGAAAAATAAATGATTAAGTTTAATGGTCGTGGTGTTGGTTTGATGGCTATCTCGTCCCACGGGGTGTTTACACCCCCCGCCTCAAGCCTCGGCGCAGAATTGGGGCAGGAAGCGGGGACACGGGCATGGGAGCTGCTCCACCTCTCGCCCTATTTACACCAAATAAACCTCCTGGGCCGGCGGGCTGGCACTCTCCTTAAAAGTCAGGGCAGGTGACGGGGACAGAGGGGACCCAGTAGCGGGGTGTACCGGAGCCTGGGCACATGCTGCAGGTGGGGCTCAGCCTGCCCCGCTCCCCTGGGGGGGCGGCCGGTGGCTTCCCCATGGCCGAGCCGGCTGAGGGTGATAACACGGGCACCGGGCAAGGTGAGTGCGCTGCAGCCGGGGACAGACGCACGTGTCACACTGGGGGAGATGGCAGCAGGCTCTTGCTTGTGCCAGGGCCACATCCAGCACAGAAGAGGGGCTTTTCTTCCCCATTTCCTTCCCCGTTTCCTTCCCCAACACCCCCGGCACGTCCCTGGTGGGGCAGAGCTGGAGCCACCAGCAGCCGGGTGGGCTCAGGTTGATGCTCCTCAGTGCTTTGGCCAGGGCAGCAGCCTCGTGACGCGGCCAGCTGCGAGGACAAGGTGAATTGGGGGACCACAGCGGTGCAAACAGCCCCACTTGGACCTCAGTGCTCGTTTTAGCGCCCTTTCTGTGGCTGGAAGCCCGCGTGACTGTGGGTAACCCGTCTTCAAAGCAGAGAGTCGGGCTGAGCCTGTCCCTTCCATGAACCAGAACTGAACCTGAGCTGTGGGTTTTGCTGAACTTGAGCAGGGGCCAAACCGAACCGGAGAGCGGGAGCCAGAGGCAGACCCAGCCCGGGAGCAGCCCGGGTGCACGGACCCTCTCGTCATGCCACCACGTGAGGCCACGCACGCAGCACACGGGGCTGGGACCGTGCTGTCCCCCCATGTCCCCGTGGGACCAGAGCAGAGAGGTTTGGCGCAGTGCAAATCCATGTTAGACTCCCCATCCTGAC